GATGGGACCACATGGATATAAAAATGTTCAGTGTTAGCTTTTCCAATTCTCTTTTCTGGATTACATATTAAGAGATAAACTCTCCTTAAGTGTATTTATACAAGCAAACCATATTTACCAGTCTCACATTATTATGTTTAAACAACAATCTTTACAGTAATTACAAACACATCTGCTATAACCATCAGTCTTTGGGGGTCTGAAAAGATGAAAACGTTTTTAAAAATAATATGTGTTAAGGTTCAGATAGCTCTGTCCCCTCACCAACAGGGCCTCACAAGCCTCTGAGACAAGGGAACCAAGTTGATAAGCATCCTGGTCTTTAAGTCAAGAGAAGCAGATTTTTCTCCACTGTTTGGCTAACACAGCAGGCTTCCCCTTTCATCGCTATAAAGGGCAGGTTTTAATGGTCCCCTGCCCAACTTTAAAAAAAAAAAAACATCTTCCTGCCTTCTGCAGGAAGCAGAAACCTCCCTTTTTAAAAGACCCCAGCTCAAGACCCGGGCAGACATTTTTCCTGCCCGGAAGGGAATCTGTCCCATGTGTTCCTTTGCTAATAAACCCTATTTTGATGGAGTTTTATCTGTGTCCTGGTGCTTCCTCCTGATCAACCCTATTGTCATACGACAACTTTTTTATCTATCAGACGGGACACAGCTCTTTCTAGCAGGACTCTGCCTTTCCTGCACCTCTTCTGGGATCCTTTGCTTCTAAGTCCTTTTGTGACTGGCTCCTTGTCCTTTAGGTGTTTGCTTGTTAGCTGCCACCCCACCTTGTAGTCTAGTTCATCAGTGAGTTTTCTTCATAGAGTTATTAGGACCTGAAATTGTTACTTCTATTTGTTTATTGTTTCTCTCTCCTAAAATGTGAGTTCCATCAAAACAGGGCCAGTAACTATCTTGTCCTCAACCCCCTGAAAGATCAGGGAAAGAGGGAAAGACAGATAAGGAAAAATGCACCGTCAATAACAAAACAGGTTTAATTGGAGGAAAAAAATAAACTGGAAGGGAGATCTCCCTATCAAACCAGAAAGTTTTGGTGTCTGCTTACAGACTTTCTCCCCTTGGGGGGAGGTAGAGAAGAGGGGACGGGCCCTAAAGGTTTCACCTGTACAGGTCAAGATTGTCAGTTGCTAGGAATGACCAGGGAGCGGTGAGTGAAGGATGTGAAGTAACTGATAAACATCCCTATGGCAGTCCTTTACTGAGGGTCACAGGTTGGGGATGGCAGGACTCTAGGAAAGCAAGTTACTTCAGTTCTGGAAATGCAAATGATTGTAGTTTCAGGAATTATCACAGTTTTACCAAAATGGATCTTTACAAAATAGCATGGGCCTGTATAACATCCCTATCACTCATAATGGTGCCTACCCACATAGTAGGTGCTCAGTTCTTGCTGGGTGATGGAAACAGGCTGAGGCAAGAGGAATGGATGCTGATATTCGGTGAAAATATATGATACTTCTGGTGTTTCTCACAAACTATCTCATTTAATCTCCTCACAGCCTTCCAAAGTAGACATTGTTCAATTTAGGAGAGCAGAAAAAGGAAGGAGTTTAGAAATAAGAGTCAGAGCCAGACCTGTCACAGGCAAGGAAGGCATTCCTTTATTCAAGGAACACAGCAAAGGCTGATAAGCTCTTCTGCAGGAACGAGTATCTTCATCTAAAGAGGGAGCAGTGTGGACTTATATAGGAACTCTGCTACATATAGCTGCAAGAGTTAACTCTGTGCCAGGGTCTGGTGTCCTTGAAGGTCTCTTCTCCAAAGATTATTTTCTCAAGCAGGTGGGTGAGTTATCTATAGCACTAAAGGAGACAGGTGGGCTCCATAAACAGTCTCTCTCAGTCCAGGGAGTGACCAGTTGATAAGGCTTGAGCAAGGCCAGGCAGCCAATTTAGGGCCAGTTAGCTGTTTTAAGGTATTTATGGATTAGGGATTTCCCT